GATTGATTAATATTCATATAAGATATACAGTTATAATAATAATATATGAATTAAATCTATTGCTCACACAATACAAAAAATAAAGCTCAAAGAAGTGATGAAAAATATAAGACAAACTGAATTTTTATATATTAGAAAAGTTCTAACTAGTGGTGCAATGGCATTGTGCCTTAAGACAAATTGCTGGAAGTTAATAATAGACAAATTTAAGCAATACTCAGATTTTTTTGTTTTTGCGATTACATTTACGACTTTTTGAAATATGTAAAATACATTGAAAATTGTATATTTTTTAATATTATTCAATAATTATGAAATTTTTATTGATTTATGAAAATCGACATTTTGGACTTTTTAATTTTGAAACCCATTCAGTCGGTTGATCCATACATGAAGAAATAAAGCAGATAAGTACGTGCACTATTAAATAGTGAAGTAAATTAAACATAAGAAAATAATTAATTTAATATGCAGTCACATAAGTTTTGCACAAATGTAAACTCAACAAATGACATTAATTGCATATTATATTATTTGCCTAGACTTTACAATGCATTTAAGTACCTACTTTCATACATTCATTCCCATAAATATTTAACTCCTCGTCTTCCTTCTGCAATATCAATCTATTTTACTCCTCGAAGCAAACGGAGAGATTTGTACAAACATCTATTATACATTTGAGGAAGAACATTCCGTTAATAGGTTATTGTTGATTCTTCCCACAAGGAATTTGGGGGAAATGAATTTCCTCTATCAGCTTTTATATCTTTTCTGGAAGAAGTTCATAAATCACATGGAAATACCGCGTTTATCATTGATAAGTATCTGTTTTGTGGATGCGTGAGACGGTGACTCTACAAGATCAAGTTCTAGGCCGTTACGAGTTGATGTTCATCCCCTCTTGTTAAAATTTCTATCCCACTAACTAGTTTCGACGTTTGTCCCGATAAAAAAAAATAATTCTGATTAATAATGGTAAGGAGATTTTGATTTTGGAACTTTGGTGTGAGATAAATATATCAATCATTATTATTGTAAAATAGAATGTGTGTTTTATGGTATTCAATATGAACAAAAAAACTAACTGAACATCTCAATAGCCTAGTAAGGATTTTCTTACTGCATTATAAAGAATATACATTACAAATTACTGTAGTTATAGCAATTTTTTGATATTTTGTATTTAACAAAGTAATACTTAAATCATGCAAATTTCATGAGATTTCATTTCATTCACTGATCAAAAGTAGCATAAAGATGAACTAATTGGTAAAGGTAGCAATTTCCCTGAAGATATGTTATATAAATTTTTCCATATTCGTAAATAATCCCCACTTAAAATTAATGAAAAACAATTAATTTCTAGTGACATAATGTTGAATAATTTACGTGTCTCATGACTCCACAATTCATTATTTTTGTTAATTAAATCACTTTTCGTGAGCCTCTAATATTTTAGAATGTTGTTCCATAGACTTCATCATCTTTTACAAAAAAATAAACTTCTCCTGTAGGAAGCTAGAAATACAACTAGATCTTTATATTACGTTAAAAAATGAATAAAAATATTAAAATTGAATGTTTATTTTTGTTTATTTAAATGACGTCTAGGTATCTGGTTTAAGTTTAAGACTGTTCAAATTAGTTTCGATCTTGGCTAAAAACAATTTAGACATCATCATCAGTTTTGTCAGAAGCAATAATATTTCTTAATTAAACAAATTGAAACGTATACAGAGATAAAAATATATTTTCTAGCGCAATGAGTCATCAGAATTAGAAAAATTATAATTATAAAATAATTACAAAATGTAGATAAAAAATATATAATAAATATAAAAAAATATATTGAATACAGGTAAATCAAGCGATCCATTTTCATCTAGAAAAGACTTCGTAGTTGAAAAATATCATCACAATAGCACCAAGGAATCTTTAGTTCTAATTGATGATCTGATAGATAAATATATAAAGAAAAAAATATAATGTAATTTCTACATTCCACAGGTATTTAAGGTGTTTTTAGAGGTCGAGTTTAGGTTTTAAAGTGATCTCTTCGTATTGGGCTAAAATATATACTATATAGCAGCATCTTTCCCAAAGAAGGGGATGATACTAAACCCCATTTTGTCACAATATATAAAAACCTTTAATATGAATTGGCATCATACAAGAAATTTTTTACAAAACAAACCAAGAATAACTAAAAATTTTGAACATTTTGATATCAAATCCGAGAATGAATTAAATTCTTTCAAAAAATAAAAACAAGGATATAAATACAAATTTGTGTGGATGTACAAATACAACAGAATGTTAAATGCTTTGTATGCAATATGGATTTGGATGCAATTCATATTAGAATTAAGAGCAATGACACGTCAAACATTTGACAATTCACATTTGATCGCACAGCAAATACATGGCATTTTAGCAGTATTTAGTACCATTTTGTATGAGAAGCACTACGTAACATAGCTCCTGTGTAGAAGTGATCTATTTTACAACAAAAATCGGTCCCTTTGTTAAGCTTTTGAAATTTTTTGGTGTATTGGAAAAAAAATCATGTTTGTTATATTTATTATTGTACCAAAATATTTTTTAATCTTTTAATATTTAATTTAATCTCTATCTCTTTATCATTTACAATTCGGAAATTCCGTAGTGCTATTGTGGCTTAACACTAATGGTCTTCCCGTACGGTCTCGGTTGTCTCTGAAGAGACCGCGGATGACCATCCGGAGGTGGGGCAAGGTCTGGTGCGTTCGATGGCCCCGAGACAAGGTACAACAGCGAGAGCAGTGTCAGTGGAGCAGGCCGTTGAAACGTTTCGACTATAGTACGGTAAACCGTTGTCAGTGTCCAACATGTCTTCGGCGAAGTTAATTGTTTTTGTGTTGAGCGCGGCGGCGATTGTGATTAACATATGTTCGGCGGATCAGCGTAAGTCGAAAGGAATTATTTAAGTAAATTGATTTAGGATTAAGGTAGTTTAGGTACGTGTACAAAGTTTTAGAAGATTCGATAAGAAAATCGAGCAATCAAGTATCAGCTTAGGATAACACTAAACCATCAAAACTCATCAAAAATTAATAAAGCATATAAGCAAATGTCTAATTTAAATATAGAAAAGTCTGAAATATCTCAAGTATATACATATACTAGTATATAAAGACATATATATATATATATATATATATCAATAGTACAATACTATTGATCAAAATTTCCTTAAAATTTATATTAATCAAAAATAAATAAAATTATTAAAGTTTTAAATTCAAGAGCACCTTACAAAATTTATTATAAATGACAAACTGATATTTTTACTAATAAATGTATTATACTATACTAATTTGGTATTGAGTCCTATTTTTCTTGCTAACATATATACCGCTAACTATATACGTTATATTCTTGATAACTATATAACATATATATATATATATATATATATATATATATATATATAGTTAGCTATTATATAATAAATAGTTGGTTCTTCTATTTGTAAATGTTAAGTTGAGCTTCGAACAAGAAATCCAATGGTAATTACAAACCAAAAAGTTGTTCAAAAAAAGTATTATTTATTGTCAACGTTTTGGAACTATATATGTTTTATCTTCAGGACATCTGTCAAGAACATTATCTTAATTAGAAGATAAAACAGAACTAATAAATATATATATTAAACTATAAAAATTCGTGTTGATCTTCTGATCAAGAATATCTTCTTGACAAATGTCCTGAAGATAGAACGTACATAATTCTAAAACAAAAAATAACATTTTATTGAAATCTTATTAGTTTTTCATTACCATTAGATTTCTTGTTCAAAGCTTAACTTAACATTTACAAATAGAAGTTTGGACACACATCACTCTGTTTTTCACTATTTGTTAAATAATCTTAAATTTACAAACGTTTCAAGATCATGGATTGTCTCATCATTAGTATAACATATATAAAAAGTTCTTATTTGAATGTGTTTCCGAATCATATGTTTAAATTAACACATTATAAAATCAATAAAATTGCAAATATTTTTGCAATTATATTATAAATGTATTTAACAAATGACCAATTTTTAGGCTTGCTGCTTTGGCTTTGAATCATAAATCAATATCGAAAAGTAACACATAATAAGACAGTATTTATTTTTTACGTCACCTTAGGTTCATACAACTTTTTAACAGATATTGAAATATTTTTCAAGATAGCAAGAGTAAACATAAAAGTTATTGTTATAAATTATCAATACTCAAAAAATGAATTTTAAATTCTATTAATCTAATATATTTCTAGTTTACTCTTACTAAACGTATTTAGGTAAAACAAAAAGTCTAAAACGAAAGTTTGTTAATAATTTGTCAAATAGTGATAAACGGAATGGACCACTTGTGAAAGTGAGTGTTTAAAATCTTAAAAATTTAAGTATCTCCTGGATATTAATTCAGATATAATTAGTTTTAGCATGTTGCAGATAAAAATATAAATCTATGTCACGTAATTTTTATTCATCAAATATAAACGGCATCAAATTTGAATCGAAGTAACTAAAACTTTGAATATTCCAAAAAATTATAAAAGTCTGAAATTCAAAATAAAAGTCATCGTACATATTGAACGAGTTCTTGGATTTAAGCAATAAATAAAAATCAAAATAAATTATTTTGAACAAATTTAATTATACACGTCTTAATTTTCTTCTTTTTTCATTCAAACAATTTAAAGAATAAAAGTTAAAATTTAAAATAATATATAAAACAAGAAATGGCAACTTTTTAATTTAAAAAATGGCATTATCATAATTTTAAGCATTATTGAATCAACACTGAATTATTGAATTAAATTCTTCAAGTATATCTTTAGCTTGTAATCTATACTATACAATTATTATATATGTCAATGAGAATTTTATTGAAATTTTGTTTTAATTTATATTAAAATAATATTTGGCTCCAAAATAATTCAGCATAATTCTTTATCGAGCTATGATGACTATAGACATACCGTTGAACCCCGATAAGACGATTTTCAGGGACCTGATCATAAAAGTGAAAGCGTATTATGAGGGTTAGGGACAATATTAAGGAAATGTATTACATTTCATTATATATTACACCAGAAATTGTGTATTAGCTTATGCTTATTAGCTTGACATGTATATATATATATAGGTATAATTAATATTTTTTTCTTTATATGAAAGCTAAACTCATCGACTCGAAAGTTAATCTATATTTCAAGTTAACGTATACTGTGACGAGGGTATTAATTTAGACACGTTATAATTAAAGTTTACATAATAGGGTATGTTAAACTTATGTTTCAATCAATCTTAGAGAACACAGTGTTTTCTGCGAACAACAAGGTTATAATAAGACCCTACAAGTATCTTTGTTACTACAAGGCAACACGTCAAAGACTAAGGAGGCATTAATTGGAAAATTCAAATTGGATCGAAATTAATTTGAAATATTTGTTTTAAATTATTTACAAAATTGATAATGCTATAGATAAATAGAGGCAGTTATATTTTGGTCACTACTTTACATTTATAATTCAGCGATAAAAAATGCTTTTAAATGTATTCTTTCCTAAATAATTAGTAAATTATTAGTAAAAATAAAAATAAATAATGTTAGATATTTTATAAAAATTATAATATGTTCTCAAAATATTTGAACATAATATATTTATCATCTCTAGAATTAATCACAATAGCGGTTCTTTTTACAATTTTATTTTATATTCAATGATGGTTTGTTACGAACGATACATTTCTAATTAACATATAGCGGATTAAATATTTTTTTTATATCAAATTAACATCCGTTGAATTATTACTGTTTTTTGTCGGCTACATATTTTTCAATGTGACGTTTTATTCGTGGAAACAAACTCTTTCAAATATTTTTCAAATTACTCATTGATTTCTTGCCCATATGATAAACAGATAAAATAACAGCATTACAGTTACAATTTTGTGACAACGTTTTTTATATATTTTTTATTTGATTTTGCTTTTATTTAATTAATGTTTTCATTAATTGATGTATTAGTTTCAAATGATATTCCTACTATTGCATTTTATTAATAAATTCTGACACGATAAAGATTAATGTCCATTTAAGTAATAATATGAAATATGTGCAGAAAGAAAGATTTTCACCTTGAAACACAATGCATTTCATCAAGTTCATTAGCAAAACCCTGAATAAAAATAATTACCTATGCTTGTGTTTTTTTTGTCATATATGTTACTATAAAATAATATTAAAGAATCCTATATGAGTCTCCCTACAAAAAGCAATACTTATTGAAAATATTAAAAAAACACTATATGTAAATTGAATAATTTTAAGTGTATTCTAAAATATTTAAAATTAATTCACTATCTTCTTATAATATTTTTATTTATTTTTCTAGCTTACTACATAACACAATGTTCAAGAACAGACCCTGCAATTAACACCTGTCTTCAAAAAACTGGGAATCGACTAGCCAGGTTACTTAAAAATGGAGTACCAGAATTAGGAATAGAAGAGGTATACTTCTAATTTTAATTACACTAACAAATTGAAAAAACAAACTTATATTTTTCTTGAAAATCAAATAACATTGACTTTTTGATAACTACAAACGAAACCAAGATTCGTAACATAAAGCAGTTTTATTTAAGGTAATGGTAATAAGTACTGCACAGGTAGTAACTTTTATAGGCGACATAAACTCAGTACTTTACTTCAATTTAATATATGTGAAAAATGCGTTGCAATGAGCTTATTCTACTGATATTATATATTTAACGTATTTTAACTAAGTAATTATAGAAGTTTGTTATTTAAATTGGGTCGTGAACTAATTCACAAATATTTCACAAAAAAGTGATATTTGAGTATGTAATAAGTTAAAATCTACCAATAATAATAGTTTCAAAAATACTGATAAAAACATAATAATTTAATATTTATAATTTGCTTTTTTAATATTCCAATATATGATTCTTCAAATTATGCCTAGTTAATTACACATTTTTCTCATAAATTCTAAACAAGAATTTGAATGAATTGTTTCAAATAAAATTGTAAAATATTGTTTTAATTAAAGTTCCTGATATTTATAGGTGGAACCAGTAGTAGTAGATGAAATTGGAATATCTTTGGGAGCTGGACCAGATGGATACAGAGCAGTTTTTAAAGATATTCAAGCCTTTGGTGTGAGCAATCTAACAGTCACAGGTGTCAGGTGTGTTGCATATATCATTATTTGAAAAAATGTCTTTAAATCATATATAGTCGTTAAAAAATTATTTAATTTTTAACAAAAAAAGTAGATGCTTTTAGAATTGTGGTAGTATATATAAAATTCACACATCTTCAATCCCCAATTTCGATACCTCATTCTTAAGCAACTTTGCCAAAGGTATAATATAATCTCTTATCAAAATTGAAGCCAATGATGTAAATTAATTCATTTTAAAACCTGTGTTTCTTTTCAAAATCGTTGGAAATATTCATCAGTTATTTATCATGTCAGTATAATTTGTGGCTCTATCAAAAAATACTCTATTTTTATAAAATATACCTCAGTATATTTTATAGCCGACACAATTTCGCATTTGCCCAATTTGTCATCATCGTTCACACGTCTCGTTTTCAACCCTTATCACACAATTCACATAGGAGAACTACCCTTATTCACATAGCAAATAACTCGATTGTGTACTATATTTGTATATAGTCCTGTGTACTTACTATTTCATTGAATTGTATGACTATCATCAAAGTAAAGTAATTTATTTGGAGATAAACATCAAGCTAGTAATCATATATATATATATATATATATATATATATATAAATTATATATATATACATCAGACAGCGCTATTTTTACGAAAACCATATCCCTTTCATACGACTTAGAAATCTCCAATAAATTAAAATAAATTGTTTCGATTGCAATTTATATAGGAGAAACGAGCCAGAACTTAATTAAATGATTACAACAACACAAAAATAATCCTAAAATTCCCAGACAATTTAGATTTATGCTTGTGGACCACATTAATAATTTAAAATAAAATATAGACTTTTTTAACCTGACTGTACTATAATTCGAAGAAAACATGTTCATTACATGATATCAATAAAAACATATATATTTACAAAGTTATTATAAATTTTATGAAAAGTAATTCTATACAGTTTTAGAATCTTTTGTTCGTTATATTTCTTCTTTGTTTCTCTTTCCTCTTTTGTTTCTCACACCCCTCTCCCAGTCAATTACCACACTTGCTGCGTAACCTTGATCAGTGTTCATAATGCACCGCTATTGAAAACATACAATATAGGATGGCAAATTGTGCAAAATATTTCAATATATATATATATATATATATATATATATATATATAAATTCAAATTCCCAGCACCGATAGTTTCACTCTATAATTGCAATGAATGAATAATAAGGTAATGGTCGTATATAACCTCTTCCTTCTTAGGTCGGACGTGGAATCGTTACAATTCCAGCTTACCCTAGAAATCCCCAAGATATCGGTCCAGGCTCAATACCGTTCTTCCGGCGTCCTGATACTTGTTAGAGCATCCGGAGCAGGAGATTATTGGGGCGAATATGGTGAGATATTCATTCTATAATATGTAATCGAAAACGATATTTTATTCGTGCACTGTCGAATATAATAACACTAAAAGAAATTCCATTACAATTGCACATCTGGATATTATTAGAAACATAGTAAAATAGAATTAAATTCGTTTTCGTGAAATTGTGTTTTTAAAGTTGTTAATGCAGAGTATATATTACCAGATTTTTGAAGTAAATTGGAAATAATATATAAAAGTTTGCCGGGTTTATATATGCAAATTTAGTCGATACAAAATCATGTCTGAAGTTCCTGTATTCATGATCAGAACTTTGCGCAAACTGGAAAATTATAATATTTATTATAATCTGTAATTGAAGTAATACGGTGAATATATTTTTTGATTATATACTCGTAACGCAGAATTAATCTGCAGTGTAGAACAAAAACACAAGCATATTTTTTGTAAATGAAAATGTATGTTGGTTTATTACAAAAAAAATATTTAGCGTAAAATCTGTATAATTAAAATTTTACTGGTAAAGACTTTAAATAACAGCATGGAAATTATTGGCAAATGTATTTTGATTCATTATTGCAAGAAAGAGTTTAGATGAAGTAAATTTTTAATATTCAATCAAAATATTGTTGGTGAAACTATTATTTATACGGGCACATATAGAAAATTTAATGATTAGTTATAATTCGTAAATATGAGCGTTTTTAAAGTAAAGATTGAATTTTGTTATCAATTTTTTGGCATCTAGCATATACGAATCTTTGAACTAAACACATTGAAAATTAATTTAAAACATTTAATCCTAATTTAATTTCACAAAAAAACACCAAAAATGTGACTTCCTTGAAAAATTAATAAACAAAATCGTATATTACTTATTGGTACAATTCTTCTGATCTGTTCTTTTGCAACCACAAATCAAAAATAATGTACAATCCAAATAAAAAAGCCCAAGTCCAATTTGATATTTATTTCTTTATTTCAAGCCATTAGGGAGTGATAATATTGCTAAAGAAAATTAAGTCTGGAGAAATTGATTAGAAGATTAAATGTTAAATCGAATGAAACATTTACATAATTTATAGAAGTAGTACAAATCCTCAAATCAATTAAAATCGAAAGCAAATATAAATAATTGAACGAAAATTTGTTATCCAATTAATGATAATATTTGAAAATCAGAGTGAAAATATTTTTTCAACAAAAAATTACACAAAAATGATGTGCATATTGAACCGAAAAAAAATAGAAATAGTTGTATTTATACAACGACAATACATACTTCTATTTAACATAAATTAACAGATATTTAATTTTTTTTTTTCATTTAAAATTATTACTATTTTTTGTAATTTTTTACAAATGTAAGTAAAAGTAGATATATAGTAGTAATATGGTGTTGTCATGATATATAATAATTAGCAATTTTATTCTTGACTCCTAATACTTGTTGAGTTTGATTTGACTGTTCATTTTCATGCAAAGTTTCATAAAAATCCCAGAAGAGTAAACTTGAGGTTCTTCTTGTTAGTAATAAAAATATGAACTTTGCGTTTTAGTGAAGAGATTACGAAAGCACAATTTTAGCAAAAAGAATTATTAAAAAATATGCCTTATTTGTATAAAAATTCCACGGAGATATGTATATGTTATAAAAGTTAGGAAGAATTCAATAGGAAAATTTCTGAATAGAATCCGCCGACTACAAAGAAAAATTTGTTTACGATCCCTTTACCGCAATATAATGTAAACGACGACGCTCCCCTGTATCAAAGGCGGATCTAGCACAATCTTGAGGGTTTTGCCGAAAATTTCGATAACTCCCGCGGGACCATTATTGACATCCGTTACAAACCCCCGTATTATTCTTTCTATTCCGGGCATGTTTTATTATTCACAGAGCAGTATGGACTGTAACAGACATGGCCAGGCCAATGGCCAATCGATCACAATAAAAAAAAGAGAAAGAAATGTACTAAATATCGTGGAATATTTCAATATTTCATTTATTACTTTGGGACAGACGTCAGAGCGTTAATGAAGTTATTGATTTATTTATAGGAAAATCTATCAGGAAGATAAAGTAACTAATGTATTGTAATTGATCACTGTTATGAAAAATCATTTCTAATAATAAGTGCACACAAAATTATATTTAACTGTGATTAAGTCTACAAAATCATATGTATACATATTTATAAATGTGAGTTTTTTTTTGATTTATAGATAATTTGGTCTAATACGATTAATTTAAACTTATACTCATTTAGCTCTCTACGTGTCCCTCGTAACTTTCAGGCCAAATTCTTCGAATTTTACAAAATAATTATGGCTTATTTCGTGACATGGCGCTAAAATCTTGATACTGTCAAGACCATCTTGACCATTGTCAAGGCAACCGATAAAAATATTTATGACGTTTGCTAGACATTTCAACCTGAAATAACATTTTCATTCAAAGAAGTGCAAACATTATAGGCCACTGCGACTTGAAAGTCACATATTTAATAAATACCAAAAAATTGTTCAAACATTTTTTATTTTTCATATGCATATGCAGGTTTATAATTACTAAGATTTTGATCCTCTAAATTCTTTATATTATTTGTTTTGTGTCATTAATGTAGTAGATACATATTACTAAAGTAGCAATTTTTAGTTTATTTTTCTATACTAAGAAATATTTTCTTAATTACATTATTTTTGCACTACCGAACAATTTTAATTCATCAGAACAACTAATTAACTTAATTTTATTTATTATCAAATAATTTGAAAACACTTGAAATAATGTTCTAGAACTTGAGTTTTTGTTGATTTTTAATAAAAAAATTATATTATTTAAGCAATCAGAAATACTGATAGACTTCATTGGGCTAAATTGACTCTATATAACAAATATCTATAGTAAAAAATCTCAATGATGTTCTCTCAGATCACTGCGTTAAATTTTTGTTAGTTTAGTAAAATGCATATAAAATTTCAATAAAGAAAACACGTTATTCTCTTCCTAATTACTTAAAAAAAATACTACAAAATGTTGAATGCATTGCAAATGACTATGTTTCTCGTAATTTGGATTCAATTTTAGTATTTTTGAAGTACTGATATATAAAATCAAATATGAATTATTTTAATGTACCTCAGGGTTTCATTTCACAAATCTGTGTATTTTTAAGAAATTATTTTTTCATTTATGATATAGTTATATCAGAAGATCACTATACTAATTAGTTACTAAATACACAGTTTGAATCATGTTTAAATATTCGGCATAATACCTCCAAAATTCTTATATTTTTTTAAAACTTTTTTTTCTTATTGATATTAATATCAATATATTAGAGGACCAATAGCACTAATAACATAATTAGTGTTGATTTTAATATTTAATTTTTTTATTTTAATTTTTAATATTTAATTTGATGATCCAAAATTATATTGATATTAGATATAAATAATGTGGAAAGTTCTTAAACTTTGGAATTTATTCAAATCATATTGAATCTATGTAGAGTATTTTTTTCAGTTACCAGAATGTAAGTTTGGCACGTGGTGTGTAAAAATTCAATGTGACTTTGCAAATGCGATATAATAAAAATGCGTGTATTTTTTTCGCAAAAATATTTTTCCACCCATGATATCCATACATAAGATGCAAAACAAAATATGTCCGCGTATATATTTCAGTTTCAGTTTGTGTTTGACTTGTGTTCTTTCGTTCCTCAGAGGGTGTCAAGACGAAAGTTTATTTCAGAGCCGCGCCGCTGCGCGTTTCTGATGACGGCAACACTATTCTTAAGGTCGAGCAAGTCAAGATGGATTTCAGCGTGAGAGATATTAAAATGGGTGTTGACAACGTGGCCAACGGGAACACGATATTACGTGAGTATTTCAGATAAAACCCTTTTAGGATCTTGGAAGACATTTTATAATATATCTACATACATTACACCAACATATATCCAAGAATATTGGTGTATGTAAGGTAGCAAAGCACCTCACTACTATATAATATAAACACATTATCTTTAAAAATATGAGCACACGTGTACCTTGTTTTTGCACTACATAGTTACATAATAATCCAGATACATACGTTTTTATCGTTAGTTTTAATATGT